CACAATCATTTAGTGTTAGATACATATAATATTGTAAAATATCATTTGCTTTCTTACCCAACAGGAACTTCGAATAGATGTTGTCCTGCCTAATTCACCAGCATCACGTGTTGGTCTACGATCTGGTCAGCAAGTTGTATCACTAAATGGTCAGTGCGTACATGGCTGGGATCAACTAACAGCGATGCATTGGTTTAGGCATTATCCTGATGGTGTAGATTTAACAATAACAGTTTTAGATGAGTTGGATAAAGCAGAAAATACAATTAAATCAAGAACAACATCAGTATGTGATTTTTCAATTAAAAAAGATAGTATTCGTGAAAACTATCAAAATGGTGCAAATGATAAAGCGTTCGACGATTTCGCTTCCATTAATTTACCTTTAAAGCCTAAACAAACAGCAGTAACACAGTTCAATGAAAAAAGTTTAAATTTAAATGTCCCATATGGAAACCTTTTGGATTCTTCTTCAGTGACACCAACTAGTTTTATCAGTAATGAACAGGAATCACACTGTGGTCAAGAAAAAGTTTTAAACCCCCTCTTCCTCTTTACTAAACATGAGAAGAGCAATACAACTATACCTATAAATACGTAAGTTAACACGTTTTTAAATATAAAATAGTTACTTTTCTAGAAAGCAATTCACAAAAAGGAATAAGATAAACATTATGAGTACAAACGATCATTATTTTTTTCATTCAATGTTGTAAAGACGTCTAACTGATGATTTGTACTCTGTAAGAAACTTAGGTGCACGGATATTTTTATATATATATAGATAACATTATAATCTCTGACCTCAAATACAACTATATCACAGTGAAAAGTTAATTGATTAGTTCTCTTAAAGTCAATTTAATAAATAAATGTCATTGAATTAATTCAAATCACTTAAGAGAATGAATCGAATTACAAGAGTGAAAACATTTCACTCAAAAATTATATAATTTGTAATGTTAATTTTTATTCTTAATTCAAATTTATTAATCTTTAGTATCTAAAAAAGCTTAGAGTAAAACTGTAAGTAAGAACTTAATCAACGAATGAAATTTATTATTTAGTGCATTTTGATCCTAAAGTAGCTGTGTGTATGTTTTAACCATCTGCAAAACTAACACACTATAGAACTATATAGTAGTGAACGAACACTCAGCTGGAGAAGACTAATTTATTGTTTAATATATAATTACAGAGCACATTCATAAAATATGAAAAAACATACATTAAATACATAATTTACACATCTTCCATCAACTGTCTTTTACACGCTTCACGATTCTTTCATTTCCGTTTTTATTACAATTACTTTCTGTTTTCTTTAATTGAATCTTCCCAATCTTCTACAGGTATGTCTTCTACTTCCAATTGGTGCTGCATAATACTTTTATCTGTCAACAGTATGACTGGTAGTCTGAAATGGCAGTTTATAATCAAGCCATTTTTCATCTTAAACCATACAAAGTGTGTAGTAAATAAATCCATATTCTATCTACAAGATGGTTGAAAAACCCACCATCTTGATTTTTGTTTGTATATTAATATTTACTGAGTGTATTGGTGATCTGATTTTGATTAATGTTGTTTTAGCTCTGTCGATGTTTATTGTGTTTGCGTTATCGGGTGTCCTATCATTTCTTAGCATTGATCCTAGATTGTTGAGTGTAGTTTTTTCTTCAAGTTTGTAGATGTTCGTGATCACTACTTTGTTTATTTATTACCATGGCTTTGGTTTTGTTACGGGACATTTGCATTCCTAGTTTGGTTAAGCGGTTTCGGAAGGAAGCGAAGGCTTTGGTAGTTTCTTCAACTGTTGCAGTGATTAGACATTGATTATCAGCATATTCTATATGAGATAATGTCCAGGTGACATTGTTGTAATCAGTCAGTTCTAGGCCGATTGTCATATGATCTATTGTTGAACTAAGGATTTTTTGGAGTATGAGGATGAAGAGAGGTGGGCCTTCTTTACTGCCTTATCGTACGTTTGCATCCTTTGTGAAGTGTTGGTTTGTGCCTTTTATGTAGCCTTTTGGGCCGTCTACTGGCTTTGTCATATTTCGGTTGATATTGCTTGGCGAGAATTCTTTATAAGGTGTACCTAAAGGCAGCTTTATTGGTAATGAGTCAAACGTTTTTGTGAGGAGAATGAAGGTTCGTATTAGTTCTTAGTTGAAGTTTGGAGCACATTGTATTGTGTGCCTTATCATCGCAATTGCATATGTAACTGAAAGATGTTTGCAAAATCCGAATTGAGTTGGAGGGAGGTTTTGTTCAGTCAACTGTTTTAGTCTCTTGTATATCATTTTAGCATATACTGTAGTAGTAGAACCACAGTATCGCCTGTTATTTTTATTTTGCGATGATTGTATGATTGGTTTCGGATGGTGGCCAACATTTCTTCACGAAGTTCCTATGCGTGATGTTGTTTGTTTTCCTAAAAGACAGCATTCAGTTCATCCACTTCGCTTAAGATCTCTTGAGTTTCAGGATCTATTTAATTTAACTGTTTTTGTCACTATATGATAATCTGCATTAGCTTCAAAGGATCGGCTAGGATAAATCTCAAATACTAGAAGGTTTGACTTGCGTTAAGTTAGTCTAAAGTTCATAATGTGACCGGTATTTGTACCCGGGTGGACCGGGGTATGTCTTTTTGCCTTAAGTTTGTTAAAGAAGTAAATTATTCTTATGTTCATCTTATCACAGAGGTTTATTAAACGTGTGACATTTGGAGATGATTCGATTTCAATGTCAGTATAAATTCCTATACAGTTTGAATGACTATTACTGAGTTCAGGACCTACGCAAAAGTTGATATTTCCTAAGATAATTTTTGGATGTCTTAGCTCATGAAGGTGTTGTACTGTTTGTCGTAGTTCAAATTAGAATAGTTCTTTTTTAATGTCACCAGTTGATGCTCCAGTAGGGAAATAGCATTTAGTCAGGCTAAAGGTTTGCCTGGTTGTTTTGTTTTACATGCGGATGGTCGCTATTTGCACATCTTTTTCTGCATAGTTGGTCTCTGTCAGTTCTTTTCGGTTGATGATGAAGAAGTCTAAACCAGTATTAAGATAGTTGTTTACGTTTAGATTACTATTTTAGCAGGTGTTTCTTCTGTCTAAGTTTAATATTTTAGATGGTAATCTAGTTTCTGTCAGTAATGTTATGTGATAGCGATGTTCACTTAGCTGACTAAATATCTGATGGAATTTACCTTCTTGTGCACATCCCCGAACATTCCATAGACCACGTTTTGCCCTTTTAGTTCCGTGCTCTTTTAAGTCATTTTGTAGACACAGGGCGACTTCCTCTGTTCTCTAGTCCAATAACCAGCACCACCCGTTATAGTTATTCTGTGTTTCTTTATATACGTCCTAATCGTTTGGGAATTTTTGTTCGGTGGGTGATTAGCCCAATCTCTACCACAAGCTTCGCCACTTCTGTCAGTTTATGGGACTGAGTGCAATCGTCCAGAAGACAAGACGTAGGCGTGCGAGTTTGACTTTACCTCCCATCCCTAAAGCAGAATTCATCTCACTTTAAAGTAAAAATATGAATGGTTCATAAATGTAATTAGAAAAGAATCCAGTAATACGATGACAAAGAACTAGTAAATTTCAGTCGGTCATTGTTTCATTAATTAAAATTTTTATGTCCATGTTGTCATTAGAAGCACTGTGTAAGCATCAAACTCATGCGTAAGCTTATTTAAGTGATTGATATAAAGGTAAGTTTCTACACATTTTGGTCAGTTACACTACAGCATTTTCGAAGAAAATATTTATGTACAACTATCAGGCAACATGAAATAGTAGAGTTCTAAAAGATCAAGTTCACCGCATATGGTCATACGAATAAGCTTAACGTAAGGTTATTCAAACATTTTTCAAAACAATCTGGAATGGGATATTATAAAACAGATATTACTTTCGCAATCTATATAGCCACTTGATAATTTCACAGTCATGGAACAGCGGTGAAATAAAGTCAAACAATCCATTCTATGGAACTTATTGACCATTGAAATATGTGAATAAGCTAATTGAGATATTATTAAAATAATTTTAATGGCACTTCATTTGTCTTATTATAATTAAGAAATTAACAAGTCTATTCAAAGAACATTTACTGCTATTTTGAAAAAAGAAAACTTATTTTATACCATATTTCACTTCCTCTTACAATAGAACATACTAAAGAGCTCTTGAAACCCTACTTTTTTTCAAAAAAAATAATCACTCATTAACATTGTTTATTATCATTTGGTATTCTTTATATAGAAAAAAAAGAATCACATACTGAACAATTAAACTCGTGACTTATTATGTCTAAAAGTTATTGAACCGTTTAACTGTATTATTCTCTTTCATATTTTAAAACTATATGATCTTTGGAGAAAAAAGAAGTAGAGATTGCACACGAGAAAACGAATATACATAAAGCTGTAAGGAGTTAGGCACATACTGTTTATGAGACAGAAATGTATCTTTTTTTCTAAAAAAATGATTTAATGGCATTTTGAAATGAATGGCGCCATATTTCAAGTCAACAGTCTTTTGTTTCTTGAAGTGTATTCTGCTTATTGGATAAATAAACTTTAAAAAATATTAAAAACGATTGTCCACAATAAACTTAGATGATTTACTTTAAATTACAGCATTTATTAACAATTGACTCGGGATAATAGAATATGAGCTTCATTATACACTTCCTAATTTCCCTAAGATACACCAACAAACTTTTGACGTTCAACTCTTTAATTTTCTTTTTGTTTTAAATTTTATTAAGTAAATAATAGCCTTTTAAATTGAATTCAAATATTTTTGCTGTAAGAACTTTTGGTTTAATAGATTATATTGAGTTGAGAACATCTAATAAAACCCAATGATGAAGAGTTTGTCATAATTATAAACGAGGGCAAAAATCTACCTGTTCGTCCTCCATTCTAACCGTTTATCAAGTGATCTTAGACTAATGATTATGCACAAATATAGGAACAAAAATCAAACCAATGGGAGACACAACCAAAACAAAGAAGTAAACAATGACAAATCTAAGGTCAATAAGAACCAATCAACGTCGAGGTTTACAGAACAAACTGTGAAACGCATATGAAGAAATCCAAACACATCACTTCTATCTGAAGTTTGCGCTGATGATGTCGTTCAGAAGAATGATGAAAGCTTCACGACCAAACAATCCAGCTCAGAGAACAAAACTTCAAAAAAAAGCTACATGTATTCAGTACTTAAGACATAGGCGAAAACCGAAAGTTTCTTTTTAGTGGTTTGAATGCTTTGTCGCCTAGGTAAATGATATTTATGCGCATACTGTTTTTATTTTGATTGATTAATTGAAATTAACAAATCTTTTTTCATCTTTATTTCAGATGTCAGTCAGCTTATTTGTGTACACTTGATTCTTGTCCATTAAAACGTGAAGACAAAAAATTATACATACCAAATCCTGAAGTACTGAGTAATGATAATGCAATTAATCATAGTGAAATTAAACAAGTTGACTCTCAAGATTATGATCTCTTTTATTGTACTGACCATAATAAGATCGAGAGTACTCATTTGCAGTTTACTGAACCTGTTATTCATCAGTATAATCTTCATAATGATAATAACAACCATAGTCAATGTAGTTTAACTATACCAAATCAGGATAAGCTAATAAATGAACAAAATTTAAATGATTATCAGTTTAGTAAAAATAGAATAGATGTAATTGAAGCAGATAACGAGAAAATGGAATCATTGAATATTCAACCAAATGATAATTTGTTTTTATCAGATTCTATTTTAAGAAATGATTATTTGTATAAAACTGATTGTGTTTAAGATTTATTTGTTGCTAAGTATATTCAAAAAATATCATTTAAGTAAAAAAAAAATACATATTGTAATTTTGTATAAATGACGGATTTTTGATTTACTTTACTTTACCGCGTAACTCCCTAAGGAACAAAAAAATTAGGCCTTCATCACTCAAGTTCGACAAATGGAGAACATTAAATTTTAAATAACTGATTCAAAGAAATTGTGGTCATCGTGAGACATGGTCTTTGGCTCATTCCACGTCGCATTTTATGTGCATAATGATAAAGAGTTAGGAATTAATACGAAACAAATAATCGGTAGTCTTTAGTTACTGATGACTTTTCAAGCTATTTCAGTTCGTAGTGAGAACTAACTTTGAAGTTATTGGCAAACAGGTATCTGGAATCATTTTTTGCTACTGAAGTGTTAAGAATAATGTAGATGTTAAATTGATAAGGCAGTTGAACCATAAAAGTACCGAGTTTCGGCGTAAGCAAAAATGAGTGATGACAAAATACTTAAGGTCATTTTAAAAGCTTAGTAGGAGGGTCAAATGGATGTGACGCTACATAATAATTTTTACACATCATGGAAGTCGATCACACAATGCTTTAGACGGAATCTTGACTGTTTCCTGGATCTTTAACAGCTGATAACCGAAAAAAAATAGTGTATTTTTTAGAATGGTCAGTGACACAGATAAGGAAATAACTAAAAATGCCTGGAATCCATTATAAATAGAAATTGCAAAATATATTTTTGGGATAGCGTAAATTATTTCTATTACGATAGTCCGTGTTATTAATCCTAATAGTTCTCAGTAAATGTTTCAAAATAATATAATATTCACTCAGTCACTAAGGCTGAATTAGATAACCAAATTAGACACATTTAACGGTTGATCAGAAGAGAACCAATCAGCCAAAAAAATGAAAAACGAAGTGATGTGTAAATAAAGATAGGATCATACCGACTGATTATCTCCCCGCTGAGCTGCAGAAACATCAGAATTCAGCAGCTGGTATGTAACTGTTTACGAATGATTACTAAAAATTACGTATGTATAATTTTTAACCTTTACAATCCACTACGAAATAATGGTTGGATAACCGTCGTCAATAAGCGCAAAACTAGGATAGAGTATTAAGTAAAAGTATTCAGATCATGTTTATAATACAAATCAAAATGTATAATAAACAGACATTTACCTCACTGTTTTTCAACTCCATAAAAATCAATCTGCAATAAAAATGTTCCGAAGAGAAATGGTAGTTTAGTTCAAAAAATGACTGTTTATTGTTTATTTAATGTTTGTGTATTTTCCTCGTACATGCACATTCTTTTCATATTACAACTATTAGGATTAGACATTCAGAAACCAATCAAACATGAGTATTCATTATTTAATTAATTATCTTGTAGACTTACGAAGAATATATCAAACGATTGTTTGAAAATAACTTAATGGTACTTTTAATAATAAGCAGTCTTTTGGCTTAATAATTATTGTCCCAAAATAACATTCAGTTAAAAGTTACTTGAAATCAAGGAAGTTGGTGTTTCATGCAATTAGTTCCCCTTATGAATTTAAATAAAGCCAGAACGAATATTGATGCAGAATAATATGAATTCATTATATTTTCGCGGTTTCTCATCAGCTCTCTACAACCAAATATGTATTAGAATTTTACACTGAGGTAAAATATAGTGTGGAACAATTGATATAAGTGAATGTGAATAATTGGAATGACAAAGGTTATCAATAATAACAATATATATATGTGTGAGCAAGAACAGGTCAGAGGTTATCTGTTGTTAGAATCAAAAAATATTAGGGATGAGTGATGTAATCATTGGGTGAAGTTCGGAGACAGATAAATTATGTGATAATTTTAGAGATAATGAAGGGTTTACACAAGATTCCTGGAATTGAAAAAAAACTGATTAGATGGCTTACGTAATAATTGAATAGGATTTGAAATGCTTACATAATTTAAGAGAATCGAGTGAGTGAAAATGTATGAGTGAAGGGTGGTTTAAGAATTTGATAATCGAAGAGAAATATAACAAACCAAAACATGGACAAAATATAACTAATGACCAAAAATTGAATTATCAGGGTAGTAATAGGTTTATTACTGTCTCATTTTGAATACATAGATCAGGTTTGAGTTTTTTTATCACGATCGCTTAAACGAAACGGAGAGAAAAAGTATTTCTTTGTTAGTAGTTTTAAAAGCATGAGGAATGTCAGTGGTGTGCCTGGTGTCAAATAAATGCCTAACTATTACACTGTCAAGAACCTTAGTTCCTCATAGTCTTGATTTCCTTGGAACAAGCTCGGAAATGTGAACATGCAGTCTCCTCTCAGTCCTTCCAATATATGTGCTTTGGCTCGTACATGTAATTTGGTAAATGCGGCTGGAGCTACTGAGAAAAGAGAACATGTCGTTTTTAGTTCCATAGTTCATCATATAATTTATCTTATCTGTCTCCGAATTTCACCCAATGATTACATCACTCATCCCTAATATTTTTTTATTCTAACAACAAATAACCTCTGACCTGTTCTTGCTCACACATATATATATTGTTATTATTGATAACCTTTGTCATTCCAATTATTCACATTCACTTATATCAATTGTTCCACACTATATTTTACCTCAGTGTAAAATTCTAATACATATTTGGTTGTAGAGAGCTGATGAGAAACCGCGAAAATATAATGAATTCATATTATTCTGCATCAATGTTCATTATGGCATTATTTGAAATTGATGTTGTTTTCACTAAAAAATGAAATCTTTTTTTAATATATCATGATTCCCGTTTCAATATATGTCTGAGAACTTTTGGAACTGATGTAGTTGTAGATCTACAAAACGTCTAGGTCGTCCACTAACCATCTACAATAAATTGTAATACATACTCTTATTACACATTTCTTCTAATAAATTAACTGTCTATTTACTCAAGGGTTTCTACAGAAAAGCGTGAAACCCATACCTAGGCTAAAAACGGCGAAATACGACAAAACTAAAAAGTCTTCTTACTTTGAATATTAGAGAAATTTATGTACCAAAAGCTAATCATGAAAAATATTATTAAAGCAAAATTTGTTGGGATAGTGAGTATTATTCATTGGAAACTCGTTAGTGTAACTAAATATGCAATATTAGATTGTGCGATTAATCTCAACACAATTGTTCGTGTGTTTCCAAACATCAGAAACAAGCAACTCATTCAGTTGCGTCAATTACCTCACAATATCTTTACATAAAGTTACCAAATAAATTTAAATATGAGTACAGGGGTTGTGGAGATTATTAAGTTTTTGATTAAGATCATGAACCAATTGATATTAGACCACCGTTGGAAACCTGGAAGCACTGGACGGCGGTTTCGTCCTTTTGTGCGACTCCTCGGCAGTGCACATCCACGATCCAGCTCGCGGGATTCGAATCCACTAACACCACTGGATGTCGGCTCAGTGGTTCAGTAGGTTAAGCGTTTGCGCACGAGATGGAAGGCCCTGGGTTTGAATCCCGCGAGTGAGATCGTGGATGCTCACTGCTGAGGAGTCCCACAATAACACGAAACGGCCGTCCAGTGCTTCCAGGTTTCCAACGGTGGTCCAACATCAATCGGTTCATGATCTCAATCAAAAAATTCAAGTATGATCATAACCATTTGAAGTAAAGACTGAAGAAAAGGGACAAATCATGTAGTTAATATTGGAATAAACAAAATATAAAGTTGTGTAGGTTCTATACCTTCATGAAAATGATTTATAAGTTTTTATTTTTAACCACCTAATCATAAGACTAATGTTTCAAACAGTAAATTTACTAATGAGTTGTAGGTATATCAACTTATAGCTGTCTATTCTAAGCAAATTATATTTATTACAGTAATAAATTGTGCATAAAACACAAAATTTCAGTGTAATTCGTTCATACATAACTAGTTTGATTCAAGTTTATTTATCTTCATTTCAAAATATTCGTCAAGAATTAATCAAAAGTCGGAAATGTTTACTACCATTTAACTAATTACAAGTCGAGTTGTCATTAGTTACTACTAATTATAACATGCTTACTATTATTATAGTTACTTAGTAATAAAATAGAAAACGTAAGTTTTTAATTAATTAGACAACCAAGGTAAGGAAAGAGACTACTAAAACGTTTTCTGGATTCATAGAATAAGCTTATTTAATCAAATAGAACCAGTATCATAAATATGTGATAGAGATGAAGGAAACTAACACTTATCAGAGAGATAAACTATGAATAAATGATTTAACTTCAAGTACATTTCATGTTATGTAAACGATGAGATAGTTCAAGTGGAATAAGACTAATTAGAAGGCAAACGTTATAACTTAATGAAAAAGTATCGAAAATTAAGTAACAAAACTACATTAGGATTACTAAGTTTGAAAAATGCTTCATCTCAATTAGTTCAATGTAAATAAAACCTGTTATATGCAACGGATTACAAATAAAAATGATATAACATGATTGTAAATAGTACGTATCACATTATTCGAATGAAAGCATCAGGTTCATAAGTACATGTGCCACTGAATTATCCAAATATGATAAAGTTTTAATCATTTATTAATATAAATAGTATGCATTCAGCTTAATATTAATGCATACAAATCGTATCTACTTTAATCTTATCATTAGCGGTACAGTAAATGTAAAAATATATTGGTTGATGAGATCTTACATAATTTTGAGAAATTTAAATTAGAATGACCAGACCGTTTTAGAATTAACGATGATTTGTATAGACAACTTGTGCTTTAATTTACGGATGATTAAATTTTCACCAATGTGAGGTTAGTTAAGGTGTATATCTCTTTATATTTTTGACAGAATTTTGTAATTGGTGTATTCTGAAATCAGTTTATTAGATTCTTTTCTTTATCATGGTTTTAGTTTGTAACTTCATCTTGCTTACTCAATTGTCCTCTTTATTTTTCACTTTACAATCCTACATCCGTAAAAACTATTTCAAATTACTCTAATTTACTACTATTATTGTTTCCATCATTATTGCTACAAACAATTTCTCCA